AGTGTTTTGTTTCACCCGAATTTTAGGTTTGTAGATTTGGAATAGGCTTTTTTTGAATTAGTCACTGATCCTAACAAATAGCAAACAGAAAATCATTGTTAAAACTTTAAAAAATGTGTCAATATTTTCGAAAAACCTTCCAAGAAAGTACTACCGTATTTTCTCTGATATAAGCCCACTGAAACCGAAATACATATTTGAGGTTAATTATTTTGGTTCCTGTGAATGATGTCAAAAAACTGTCAGCTGATAAATTATTTATCATAATTAAACCAATTATTTATCTGTTGACAAAATTTTGACATCTTTCAAATAAATTGAGATAGCTGAGCCCAAAGTCGATGATTTTGATAGGTTTATTTCATTGACAATACGGTAGCTCTTATCAGCATTTTAAATTTTCACCTTCAAAAAATTTAAATTGTTTAAATTGAAAACGCTGGAAATAATATTTCCTAAAGGAATGCGAGCGATTTCGCCCTTGTATAAATGAAGTTGCAATGGGCGAGTAGTAATCTGATTTACGATGAATACATTTTTGGTCCTCATGAGGAGAGCACGAAAGAAAAGAGAAGCGGAAAAAAAATCTGCGAGAAAGGAGAGAAAGAGAAACATGGGTTGCGCTGACACCTTCCTCTCTTATTCCATTCTCACACGTCTTTAGTCTTTGGGAAAAATTTAAAATTCGGAGTGTAGCTTCCACATACATGATTCATAAGAAACACACACTTCCACCATATACCTCCTTTGTTTGGTGAAACTAAAAGTCTTAAGCTAGAGAAAAGATGAGGGATAGGAATGGAAAAAAAAACTCGCACTTCCTTTTCCTTTTTTCGTCATTTTTTGCACCTAGTTCTTCCTTCTCGAATTTCTGAATATATTTTTAACGGTTTTTACGAGAATTCTCTCATTTTTTGAAAAGTTCATACCGTAAAACGTGTAATAGAAGGGCCCCTTACTTTCAAATTTTAGCCAATTCATCTTGGTTTCTGTCAAAGATATGTGAAAATTGTTTCAATGGATCTTTATCATATTATCACGAACATTTTCACAGTTGGCACATTTCTTATATCTTTCTGAGAAACCGAGATAAATTAGCTCAAACTTGATAGTGTGGGGACCATCTATTATAGGTTTTAGTGTAGTGCTAAATTTCTTTCTTCTAAATTTATCAAGTAACATTCTAGCATAGAGAACCTGAAAATATTTTCATAAAAATTTCAAGTTTCAAGTTTCAAACTCTCATGCATTGTTATTGGAAAACAATGCGTGGTATGACTATTCCTGTTTGTTTTTCCAACTTAAATGGAATTCTGTCTGCAACACTTTCTTCCTCTGAAACTCATTTCATTTCCCCTAACATCATCGAAATGATCCTGTTGTTGGCTTTCGATGAAATGAAGAATCCCGAAGCTTTTCTCTAATTGAAAAATTTCAAAAAAGAAAAGTATAAAGATAATCTCTAGTTCCTGTTTTCAAACATTATTCCAAACAATTGCTCGTCATCTCCATTAGTCAGCCATGTTTTCGGAATATTTCTTCCGATTGAGCCCTGTCTCTTCCAGCCCACCCAATGTTTTTTTAATATTTCCGGGCGTATAGTTTCTCACAGTTATGCATATTTCATCCTTCCACAAATTTATGTTTTCTGTCGTATTTCATTATCCTAGAAAATAAAAATAAGATCTTGTTTTCCAAATATTCTGTTTCAACAACCATTCTGAATATCTTTCTATTCTTATCTCACATCCGGTTTTTTAGAAAAAAAATATAATTTACATAAAACAACGTAGAGTTCTTCCTTTTTCCCAGCAATTTCTCTGAAAATTAAGCATGCAATAACTTGTCTTCTTAGCTTTTTGAGTTCATTTCTCGTATATCCCTTTTTACTTCTTTTTCCCATTCTCAGATTTACGAAAAAAATAATTAATTTCTTTTTTTTCCGTTTCTCTTGACTTCCCAAATTTTTTAGGTTTTCGAAATGTTAGGGGCCAGAAAATCATCCAATAAAAAATATTTTGATCTTGAAAATATATAAGGAGGAGTTTCTATAAAATCAACATTTGACAAGCGAATGATCCTGTTGAAAGTCTTCTTATCTTTGAAAAATCCTATTTCGCTAATCATAAATCTAATTCTTTTTTGAAACGAATGAAAACGGATGGAAATATCACATTAGCTTAAAACTATCAGTGCGGAAAATTGCCTAAAAAGTGCTCATTTTGAACTTTAGGCTCAAATATTCACTCAATAAAAATCTCTATGACCCAAAGTGATCCCTTATGCAACTTGATCTTATTCCATAAATCCCACTCTTTTTTCCCCGGAGCAAAGCTCGCAATCTTTATAGAAGAAAAAATCCTAATAGGATAAAAAGAGGGTGGCTGTAAATCAGAATAAAATATTTTGAGTGCATCCTTCTTCCGCTTATGATATCATTATCAGGAAGAAAACACTTGACGTTTCACTTTATTATTTGATAATTTATCCTTTTTTTCCAGTCGTGATCTTTCATGAATCGGAAGACCAACGCACATTGAAAAAAAATGAAAATAATAATTTACAAAGTGTTTTCCTCAGAAAAGAAAGTCTGGGTTTTTGAAAACAGTAATTTCGGGCATAACTAGAACGGATTACCTATCCCGTCGTATACACCTACGATTGTTATTAAAGGATTAAAAATTCAATTGGAGTTCTACGAGACTATGACGACTGGAAATCTCACATTTCTCAACAATGGTGGATTTCAGCTCATGTGTGTAATCTCTATTCGTTATTACTCACGCATCGTTCAATTTTTGTCTGGTACAACCGTTTGTACCTATTTTTGTCTTTTCGGTTGGAAAATTATTGTAGAATTCAAATTTTGATATCTTTCTTTTTTCTAGGAAGGTGTGCTTTTATGGTGATGAATCAGGAAAATTATTAGGATAATATTATTATTTATATCAAAGTTTCAATTCGAAATTTTATATTCAACGGTTTTTGAAATATGAATTTATAAGATTTTGAAATTTTCGAAGTTTCGGAATTAGGGAAAGTTCATATTTTGGAATTTCGGAAAATTCTAACTTTGAATTTTCAAAAATTCCTACATTGAAAATTTTGTAACTCCGGAATATTTTGTTTTTGGAACTCCAAAGTAATCCAGTTTTCGAAATTCCGGAATGGTCTTATTTCGAAATTTCGGAAATTGTTGAATTTCACTTTTCTATCACAAAAACGGAAAAATTGCTGAAAAAAACGACAAACAGATTCCGAAAACACAAAAAAAAATATTTAGAAACATTTTGCTGGAGACTCACATAGAAATACAGTAGTCCAAAAGTTTCTGATTCCGAAAAAAACGTTGAAAATTTTTCAGTTTTAATTAATTCAGAAAATGGTCAAAGTTTTCCGAATTTTCGGGAATTCCGAGTTCAGTTCCAACAATCCCTGATAAGAACCTTTCGGAATATTTTTGAGGATTCGAAAAACTCAAATTCTTACTCAACTATCCATTTTTAGCCCTCGTTTGTTTTTCTAACAATCCTAAGATCAGAAAATAATTTTTGAAAATGGATTATCTATTGTTCCCCCTGCTTGTTACTTAAACTCAGTGTAGTTGATTTTAGAACAGAATTTTATTTTTCCTGTCACCCTAAAGATAAAGTGGTTCTCTCGATTCTTAAGAAAGCGTGCTATTATCTCCACCAATTCCTCAATTCTTGGCCTGTTTCTGGTGGGGCCTTCTCAGTTTCACCGAAAGCTTATCCACCCCTCTCCAGAAATGTTTACTTTACTTCATGTGCAACGTTTCTTCTCCTTTTTTCTTTTTCTTCCAGTTCAAGGACGGACGGACTGCCTTCAGTTTTTTCTCGACTTTTCTTCGTCCCCCCACCAGACTCCCAAATTCAATTTCCGTGCTCTTGGTGTCGAATTTCAGAGAATAGGCAAAAAAATAGACGGATGAAACAGAAACTATAAAAAAATGTATTCAAATGGTCAAATCATTCAGAAACGCATTATCCCTAATAACTTTATCCTCTGCCTATTTTATTAGTATATGTATATCTTGTAAATGTTTCAGGACTCCTCCATTTTTGAGATTAAATCCACCAGCTCAGCAAGAAGAAGCACACATTATCTTCATCCTCTTCATTTTCCTTTCCTTTCTTTCTTCTTGATCTCAAACCCAGAAATTCATCCCATTTATTTTGAGTTCTTTTTTTTTGTTTTCTTGGTCTCTCATTCATTTTCCTTTCTTTTTTCAGAAGTCAATCTCATTCATTCCATATTTTTCTTTTTCCTGTCTTCATCCAAGATTTATTTGAAACATAAATCAGAAACCCCCAAGATTTTTGGGAAACAGAAATTGTGTTCTGGTACCAACTACCAAATTTTTTGGAAATGAAAAACATTGCAAATTTTTTTTCTCGAAATTTTCAAATGTACGAATGTCTAGTAAAAGAGGGATATGCTGAATTCTCACATGTATATGGATTCTTCCCCTGCCAAAAGTTCACGCCTCCACTCTTTCCTCGTTTTCTCACTTCAGCTCCTCAAATCTCTTAAAGCTGTGGAAAATTTTTAAAAAGGAGAAAACTAAACTAGAAACTTTCAAAAAATGGAAGAGGGCCCATTACTCTAATTCCACATTGTTTTCATAGTTTAGTAGAATCTCCAAAAATATATCTCAACAAAATCCAAGGTGCGCTGCTCATTAAATTTTCATGACTGACAGAGTTTCCAAGCTTCATATTTCACAACTAATGTTTCCGCTTCAAGTGAAACGTGTGAAATCTGCATTTGCCTTCGTTAGCCATCAGGTTCACTTTTTCCACTTCCCTATCTTTTTGATATCGAGTTCTCCCACGTCAAGACTTGAACTTGTCTCACTAATCCGGAGACATCTGGCACGCACTTCCGATTTGAATTTTCTAAAAAAAAAAGCGAAACCAACGTACTTAAGTCTCGATGTTTTTACAATTTCCACTAGTTTGAAGCTACTAAATTTTCAGATGTCGAACGACCTCTCCTCAATAACGTCTTTAGTTGACAATGCGACTTTGGACTATGATAACAACTGCAAAATCAAGATTGTAAGTTATTCGGAGTAATGTAGTCAGGGGGAAAGAAGGCGAGGAACCGTACAAGCAGAACTTCACCTTCATAACCTGCATTTGATTTCAATTAACTTATTTGAGAGATTTCAAAAACCTGCAAACTTAACAAAAATGATTGTATTATTAATACAGAAATTTTCTCAGTTGGCATATTTTTAATATTCTACATAAACTGAAATAATTGAGCGCCCATTGCAAAAACAGTGCCGGTCATTTAGATATACACACTTTTAAGTTGATTTTCAATCATTTTGGCAATTTACACTAGTCAAGAGCTCGGCTGTCAAATTTTTGATTACATTTAACATTTGAGAGGGTGTAAAACAGATGTAGATTGAATGCTTTGAAAGAATTTTATTGCTTTAAAAGAATTTTTCAAAATTTCTTAGTAATTCAGCTATACGCCGATTCATGAAAGACACAGTTTTTTTCACCTTCTCAGTATAAAACTGGTCAAAAATGAGTGTCTTTCAAAATTTGGCAAATAGCAGGGATTTTCAAATATCTTTGTGAATGCAAAATATTCAATCTAGGGCGGTTTTACATCATTCAAAAATTTCAAGTGATCGAAAACCTGACAGCCGTAATTCTGACTTCTGAAATTACGATAATTCCCACATCATCATTTTTTAGAATCCATTGACTTTGCCCTACTTTCAACAAGCGTTCATCTCAGCATATTTTGCGATTTTCTGTGTTGCCATATTCGGAAACTTTTTGGTGAGCTCTCCATTTCAAAAAAAACATCGTATGACATCTCTCTTCCCATTTCAGGTTATCTATGTAGTTATGAAGAACAAACGTATGCAAACAATCACAAACATTTTCATCACAAACCTTGCTGTTTCGGATCTTATGGTTAATTTCACGTGAGTCTCAAGTCATTTTCTAACACCAACCCCTTCTTCCGTTTCAGGTCGTTGTGGCTTACTCCGACATACACCAAAATAGGGCATTGGGTATTTGGAGGCGGTTTGTGTCATGGACTACCACTGTTCCAAGGTATAAAATTACTCAGTTTTTTTCTCAAAAATGATCATTGATCAAACTATACAGGTACAAGTATCTTCATCAGTACATGGACATTAACAGCAATTGCAATCGATCGATACATCGTGATAGTGCACAACTCGTCAAATATCAATATCAATGATCGAATGTCGATGAAATCCTGTCTCGCTATCATTGTTTTTATTTGGGGTGCGTCCTTACTCATGGTCGCCCCTTATGGTATCAACATGAAACTCATCCATATTCCTGCGCCTTGTAACTTCTATGTTTGTCAAGAGGACTGGGCTGATCAACACTTCCGTTCCACATTTGGCCTGGTGGTGATGACTCTTCAGGTTGGATCTTTTTGAAAAACTAATTTTTTCATCCCACCGATTTTTAGTTCATCGTCCCATTCGTGCTTATTGCAATCAGCTATACAAAAATCTGGTTGTTCTTAAATAGTCGTCACAGTATGACTGAAAGAAAATCGGATATTAAGCGGAAGAAGCGTCTTCTTCGGATGTTGATTTGCATGGTTGTCATTTTCGCAATCTGCTGGTTCCCATTCAATTTGCTGTAGGAGATATTGATGTGCAATAAAAACGATTCTAACTTTTGCATTTCAGAAACTGCCTGCGAGATTTGAAATTTGTGGATTTCTCTAACTACTTCGTCATGGTTTTCACCCCGGTTCACCTTATAAGTATGACGGCGACGGCGTGGAATCCGATTCTTTACGCTTTGAAGAATGATACCTTCCGGTGGGTTTATGTAAATTTAATCTTTGTTTCTCCTTTTTCTTTTTTTTTTGAAAATTTTCGTTACATCACAAACTAGTACAATAAATATTGAAATTATAATCTCAGAGAAGAATTCGCAAAAGTGGTTCCATGGCTGTTTGCTGGTCGCCCAGGATCTGGACCCATCCGCGTTATCACTGGTAAAACTCCAAAGCTACTCGGTCATTCTGTATTTTAACTTATTCTAGAACGCACCGCAATGATTGCCAACCCATTTCGCCGGGGTAATCAGAAGAAAGCTACCTCTACCCCCACTGAGGAGCAACCAGTTACAGTGGTTTCCGGTAAGCCTTGTTCTCTTGTTGACTGTGTTTTTTAGTTGTATATTGGGTTAAGAACTTTTGCACGCCACATCGAACGAGGAGTAGAAGAAGCCAGAATGCCTGTCTCGTCGTTTGCCGTCCTCTCCCCGTCTCTCGTTTTTATGTTCTTCTCATCTTTGTTGTCCATTTCTTGTTAGAAAGCCATATATTATGTATAAAATCCGATTCAGAGAGTCCAAGCCAAGCAGCACCAGAGCCAGTGCGCAGCATTGTGTACCTCGATGAACCTGAAAACGGATCGAGCTGCCAGACGCTTCTGCTTTAATCTCGGAATATATTATGTTTAAGATATACAGCAATCCCATGATGTGTTTGAACAGTTTCTACCGGACAGAATGTTTTGATTAGTTTCGAGGGTTACTGTATCTCAAAAGATTTAAAGTGCACGTGCTTCTATGAGAGTGAATACGGTATACGTTTCCTTTTCTTCGCTTGCCTGTAAATTTTTCCGCTTGCCTTAATTCAAATCTCATTTCGAATTTAATTCGAATCTTCCAACATTTTTGTCACCCACGTTTCTCAATGTCCTCTACATGTCCTCTTTCGGAGGCATCAAAGTTTTTATTATCCCGCCTTTTTCTTGTTTACTATACCCCAAAAGCAAAAAATGTATTTCGCTTTTTCTTAAATTATGAACTGCTTTTCTTTTTCTGTTTCCTTCCATATTGCATAAAATTGATACAAATAAAGATATTTTGTAGTTTACACAATACATTTTAGTGGGTTTTTGCATGAGGATTTCAACTGGAATGGTTGATAAGATCAGACAAGGGGGGTTGAATGGTGGAAAGAGATATGGAAAATATGATGAATTTGAAAAAAAATAGAAAAAATCATGACAAGGCATCAGGATTTTGAGATTGAGAAACGGGGGATTACGGTGGAACATACAATCGCAAGGGAAAATAAGTAACTTTTCCGGAAAAAAGGGAAGTCAGTTGAAAATGGAATTTGAATTGACTTAACATAATAAAAACAGCTAAAATTTGAAGACATGCATTTTTTGTTTGACTTTGAAAGAGATAAAAGAAAATAATGATTAGATTAACAAGGTGGAACCATGAAAAAATTTAATAATTAATTTAACAAGTAGTTTAATATCTCTCGATAACAGTTTCACTGCGATATTCAGAGTAGGTTTTTGGGCGCGCCGCGTAAATGGAATCATCCACGTGGTCTCCATTCATGTAACTTTTATCCAAGTTTTGCTCCATAACTGGGGAGTCCTTATCATTGTAACGAGATAGACACTTGGAGCCAACAAGGTTGAGTAGGATGTCGAAAATTGGGGCGGTCACTAAAACGGACAAAATTGCTGCTTTCATGACGAGAGCAGCGTCCTTGGACATCTCTGGGAATGGTGCGGCCATCAGAACTAAAGTTGGAGCAAGGTCAGCCTGAAAATGTTTCAATTTTAAACGACAACATACAAATACCGGTCAATAAGATGTACAAAAACCTATTTTTCAATTGACTTTGACCATTTCTGTAGTCTGGAGCCCGGCTAGCAAGTTTCCAATCTACTTTGAAACTTTTGGAGGATACAAAACAGGATATTTTGGAGGATAAAAAAAACCTAGTGTTTTCAGCTTTTTGCCAATTTCTGAAAGGCATCTTGGCTCTAGTTGGTTATTTTAAATTAAAAAAAAAATTTGGATCGAAAAATTTTTTCCGATAAAAAAAAGGATTTTAAAGATATTTTTAGATTTTGAAGATTTTGAGAAACGTTGAAATCCAGAAATTTCTTCAAAGTTTAAAATTTTCTGGCCTTCAAATCCAAAAAAAATTTCAAAATCCAAAACTTTATGAAATCCGAAATAACAGACTGGAGCCGACACATTTTACTGGTCTGCTCTTTTAGTGAAATGTGATAAAAACAAAAGTTCATTCTAGGTCTGTTTTACACGTTCCAAAATTTTCAAAGTGATAGGAAACTCAAAATCCACTGAAAAATGCGTTTTTGTTTATCTCATCGGACTGATACAGTATTAAGCTAAAAAACCTGGAACGTGGCTCTTGGCAACAAGCTAAGAGCAACCACAACTTGCTCCTTGAAATTGATATGAGAAGAAAGAGTGACAAGCATCACGAGAATGGTTCTGACCAAGAGACCGATTGCAATCACAGCGATGCAGAGGAATACGATTTCCCATGTGAGCTGTAAACACAATTTTTGTTTGAAACTTGAAACAGAACCCACAGTTGAGCAATCAAATTTCATTCCGAGGCAGGTAAACAAGAGTGGAAGTGCAAACGAGTCCCAAATGTATTTGTAGGTTGAGACCACTGATTCAATCTTGTCCTTATTGTCCGTGCTCCATTTCATGGCACACATGGCACTGGTAATCAGGGCAGCGAGGAATCCAGAGCAGGAATACTTGATGAGATAGGTTCCAATCATCATTGAAAGGCAAATAGCACCAAGAAGAAGGATTCTGGCAAATTGGGTGTGTGGGGCATCGGATCTTGGGAATCTCCAAAGCAACCATCCTACAATGACTCCTCCGATAATGCCAAAAACAATGGTACCGGCGTTGAGAAGGATGGTGGTGGCGATTGGAGCATCAGTGAAGATAATCGAAGAAAGAACCATAAAGACGACCACACAGAAGAGGTTGTCTACGCAGCAGATGGCTAGAACGTTTTCAGGGATTCTTTTCAGGGATCCCAAATTTTTTTCCTTGAAAGAAATCATTGCTGGAACAGTGACAGCTGGGGATACAGTAACCAAAATCAGTCTGCAAATAGGGAAAATTCGAATAAATGGGATTTTGAGTCACTTACGCGCAGAAAATGGACATGACGAATGAAATGTTGAGGATAAAATAGGATGCGATTGTGACAGCGATGATTTCTCCAATGGCAGTGACAAGCCCAATAGTGACAGGCATGACCTGTAAAATTCTAGGATTTTTAAAACCACACTTTCCCAAAACAAAATTGTGGCTTCGTGCGAGCGAAAGGCTCCATTAACAGTTTTCAAATTTCAATTGAATTTATCCTGGTTTTTGTCCAAGATATAAAAATATGGTCCATTGAAAAAATGTTTATCCTAATGATAGATACAGTACCGGTCCATGAGATACACAAGACAACGTAATTTTAAGTTTATTGCCAGTCATTTCGACCATTTTCAGGAGTCTAGAGATGGGTTAACAAGTTTCCGAACACTATGAAACTTTTGGAGGGTCTCAAACAGATCTAGATTAAAAAGTTACAGTTCACAGAACTTTTTGAGATTTCCTATTTTTTACCTACTAGCTGATTTTTAAAAAAGGCCGTATTTTCAGTGCAAAACGGACCACAAAGGGCGTATTTCAAAAATCGAAAAAAGCAAAAAACTAGTAATTCTCTAGAAATACTGTAAATGCAGTTACTTGTGAAAATCGTTAGAATTTTCGAACATTAACTGAAAAATACGTTTTCGATTATATTATTGGCCAGTACTGTCTATTTTGTCCAAGTACCACATTTCCATATCTTTTACGGTAACTTAAATTAGGTCTAAACTGAAGTCTTTGGTACTAACAAAATTTCGAGACGAACTTGGGTCAAACCCGACTGTTGAGATAACTTTGGGGTTTTAAAAATCTATTTCTGTTAGTATAAAAACTTAAATAAAACCTCAAAATGATCTTCAACGTTATTTTTATTCAAAACTTCAGACATTTTACCACTTACTGCATTTTCATACAAGAATTGCACATCGGTGGCAAGTCCCCATCGAATCACAATCATCACAAGAGCCACTTTTCGGATCATGGTCTCCACAAATGGAGGGAACACGAAAAACTGCTCAAACACCACAATGTTCCTGATGACAATTCCAAGAGCTAGGCAACCTGTAAAGAACACATTTTTCAAAAAGTTTTAATTAGAAAATTCAAAATCGTACCAAAAAGAGGAGGGAGTCTCAAAGCTTTTGAGAGTTTTGCCACAATGATTCCAACGACGAGAAGGATGAAAACGACGAAAATGGTTCTAACTGTCACATCTTCATTTGTAGTGGTAACCGGGTGGTCGGCAAGAGGGTTTACTAAAATTTCGCCAATTATAAAAAAGTAAAATTTTGAAAAATCACTTACAAAAGTTCTCACCCAGAAGAGTGATAATAGAAATGTACAAGGACAGAAAAATTAAGAGAGTTGTAGCAATGGCATTGATCTGAAAATTTTTCAAAAGAAATTTTTGAAAAATAAAAATAATAAATCTTACCTCTCGATTATTGAAAAAATTGTGTAGCGTGTTGTGTAATCTTGCCACGCAATGCATATTTTTGTTTTGATCACCACGTGTGTTGTTTGATATAACTGAAAAAAGAATGTAAAAGCTGGGAAAAAAAATGAAAAAAAAACGAAAAAAAAAACGAAACGGAAGAGCAGGCCACAAGGTGTAATAAAAGAGAGGGAGGGATGAATGCTATAGGGGGAAGAAGAGTGATTAAACTGTCAAATGGACCCCGAAATCGGAAGCGAGAGCCTATTTGCGGTGTTGCTTCCCACCATCACATACTAACTTTTGATTCACAAACTATCTTCCCTTTCTCGGAGAGTAGGAAGAGGAGGCAGCAGAGTGCTTACCGCTTAATCTGTTACACTTATTCAATAACGCATGACGCCTCTTTTCTCTATTTCGTCTTTGCATATTATATACTATTATACCAATGTTGCTACTTGCCCGTTTATGTAAATCCCTTAACGTTGACGCATTGACAGTCCAGTTTTTCAGATTTCAGTTGATAATGTATGGAAAAAGAATGAGTCAATGGAAATAGGAAATATGAGTTTGAGAATGAAGAATGTGAAAAAATAACATGATCTAGAGGGAGATTGAATGAAAATGTGTTTTCCCGCTCGGATGGTCAGGAAAAAAAGAGAATAGAAAAAGGGTAAGACACTGAGAAGAGATAGAGAGCAAAACAAAAATAAAAAAATTGAAATAAAAATGGTGGATTAAAATGAGGTTCGATGAAATAAAATTGACAAAGTAGAAAAATTATTTTAACAAATTTAATGTTGGTGAATTTATTTTAATTTCAAAATTTTAGAAAAAATAAACTACCGTGAAGACTCTAATAGAACGCCACCTAAGCCGTCTACTTTGAGCCAATGTATCTCAATTTCTTCAAATGATATCAAAAGCGGCACTATTTTATCAGTTGACTTTTTGACATCTTTCATAGAAACCGAGATGCAAAAGTTTAAAGCAGACGGTTAAGGTGGCGTTGTATTATAGTGTTAACGGTATTGATATTTCTAACAAATGACAACAACTGCTTATTAAACGCCAACTTCAAAACACTGAAAAAATAGTTCTAATAGGTATTTTTTGAAATATCATTTTGAATAAACCTTAAATTAATAATAAGCTTGCAACGGGCCGGGCCCAACAATGAAAGTTTTTTGCCAGGCCCAGTACTGATTTTTTTTGTGGCAACTAAAAATGTGATAAAGTTCTCAACTTGATTCGAAAATAAGGTTTCAGTGTATTTTTTCCGCAAATTTATAGAATTTGACTTTGTCAAAGTTCAACGACGAATTGACGACAAATTATTTTCTTAAATGACGATGTTGCATTTAAGACTACATTGAAACAAGTCTTTTTTTATTTTTAGACACAAAACGGCCCTTCTGTTTTCTTTATGTCACTCATTCCTCGCATCACAGATCAACAAAACCGTAATGATCTTTACAAAAAATTATTTGATATTTTAAGAACACTTTAGTTCTTATCACAATATCAAATCTCAGAATTTGTGATACGAATTTAGCAAATTTCTGTGTTCTTTCATAGTCCACTGATAAGAGAATACGTTACGTCATAATTTTGTAAAATGTTGCGAAATAACACTTTAAAAATCGTAAATGGTTTCATATCCGGTGCAAAAATCAATAAAAGTTGGGAAATTTTACGAAATGTTAAAATAGAGTCTAGTCGTTTTAAAGATTCATTTTTGTTTTATAAAAACAATGAAATCCAAGAAAAAAATATGAAAAAACGTCTGAAACATTGATCAGACTGTAACGAAGAAAAACAATGCAATCTCAATTCCTCATTCCGTTTCTGTATGTATTTGTGTTGTTAAAATACTGATAGTGTGGTTTGGGATAACCGTTTTCCGAGATGTTAATTGGTACAAAATTCGGATTCAGCTCATAGATTACTCTATTATTTAAAGTAGTGTTGTTCGAAGACGACTTGATAATTTGCAGATTTTGCTTCGAATCGACTTCATCCAAAATTGTGGAGTTGGTGATATCTCGATTATACAAAGATGTGCCTTCCTTGATCCTTAGGATCCTTGGTCCAAGAATATCCAATAAAATCTCAACGACAGGACTTGTCACCATTACTGCGATAATGCAAATGTAGACGATCTGCAAATAAATAAAAAGAGATTAGGCAAATAACGCTTCCCTTCTTTTCTCGTATTCTTTTATTCTCCTTCCTTACCAGTTTAGTTTGCTCTCGGAGTTCCGGAAAGCCAGCGGTCATTAGAATAAGCGACGGGGCCAGTGCACACTGAACAGTTGCTTTTGGCATCAAGGTCAGGGCCAGAATCAGTTGTTCGTAGATGTTGAAGTGCCCGCAAAACGATAAGATCATTGCAGAGATCAACCGGAAAGAACAACCAACTGCGATGAGGACAAACGCGGTTTTCCAATCCGATGCTGATAGCTAAAGCGTAGTTGATAAGTAATTTGATAAGGATTAATATATAGTAAATAACAAAATTCTCCTCACCTGATCAAAATCAAATGTGTATCCAACAAGAGAAAATAGCAGAGGAACTGCAACAAAATACCATAAATTGTCGTACTGGTGAACCAAAACCTTGATCTACAAAGATCAAGAATTATAATTTATTTGTTGTTTGAGGCCACATACTCCTTTCGGGTTATCTTCTCGCCACTGGGTGGTACTAACACAGCAAAGGCAAAGACCAGCAACGATTCCAGGAAACGGGTAGCCAAGGACAAGCATACCTGAAAAACACGGATTCCATTTAGAACGTTTTTTCGTCAGAATGTTTTTTATGTAAGATACGAAATTTTTTCGTCAACTTTTCCGGTGAGCGAGCAAAAAAATTAACATTTTCTTGGTCCTGGAAATGTTTTTATAATCCCTGGTTAAGTTTGGTCTTGGTCTAAAAAAGAAATTTTGAAATAGTTGAGAAAAATTTCGAAACTACAGTACCGGCCAAATAAGTTATCGTATATTCACTTTTTACCCAAATTTGGAGTTCTGAAAACCTTAATTCGGAGGGTACAACAACTCGGAGGGGGTACAAAGTGATTTAGGGGTACAAAATCCGGATTTTTTCAGGTATTTAGTACCGTATTGAGGATTTTGTACCCCACAATCGTTTTGTACCTTAATGACCCTAAAATTTGTGTACCTTCTGAATTATTTGCCGAAAATCTTCTCATTTCTAAGAAAATCGCAGAACACACCGAGCAGCACACACTTTTAGGCAAGTTTTCTATAATTTTTAGTGCATGTGAAAAATTTCCCTGATTGAAAAATACTCTTTTCAACTCGCCTCAGAAATCACAACTTGGGATTTTCATGTTTTGTGTGTGGCTTGCATCGAAAATCACAATTTCCCATATAACTCAGTACTATTCTTTGATGTTTCCGGTTCATTCTCATTCAAATTTCTGTTCATCAAAGTTCCCCCTTCAATCTATTTTTGTCCCCCAAAAATTACTTGTTATAACCGCATAAGTGGACGACGCAATGACAAGAAACCGAGCAAAATGCGTGTGTCTATTGTCATTTTTTGGGAACCAACGAAGGAGCCAACCGATGACGCAACCAATTATCGCCGCCAGTACAATGGCCCCGATACTTTTCACCATTGTCGCGAAGACAGCGTCTGGAAGAACAAAACACATGTTCTTTTTTTTCATTTTCAGAGAACCAATTTGTGCCTACCATGTGTATAAGTGACAGACGATGTTACGGAAAATATCAACAACGACGTAAAGTTATCAAAACAGCACGCAGCTGGAACCACATCAGGAATGTTCTGGATTGGAGGAAAATAAAATATGAATTTGTGTATGTATTTTGATTATTACTCACCTTCGTTGTTCCTATTCCTTGTTCTTTCAGCCGGAGCATCGTTGGCATGCCGACAGCTGGAGATACTGTAGCCACTACGAACCCACAAATAATGCCAAGTGAGATGGGAAAGTTGAAAAAGACGCAAGCAGTGAAACATATCGCAATTGCTTCGCAAAACGCGGAGCCGATCCCCAGAATTGGTGGGAAAATCTTTAAAAAAATTGTATTTTTTTTTGTTATTTTCCAGTGGTTTTGATTTTTTTTTGCTTCGTCATGATAGTTTTGGTTTCGAACAACTTAAGCCTTATAAAGCTGGAAAATAATGGGGGATAATGACTTTGAAAATCAAACAGCACAAAAAAGGCATAAACAGTTTTAGATTACTGTTTTCGTGGTTTTCGAATATGATTTCTCTACATATTTTGTGCAAAAAAAAACCAAAAGTTTAAAACGGCAAGTTTGAATACTGTAAAACTTGTAGTAGAAAAGATTTCAAACTTTTGACTTCCAATCGATTTATCTCGAATCCTGTTTAAAAGATGAAAATTTTGTCAACTGATGAATTATTTATCATATCATCATCGTTTTATCAGTTTACAGATTTTTGGAATCTCTCACAGGAACCGAGATAATTTAGCTCAAACCTGACACTTACTTTTTTCGTAGTAAGTGTATTTCCAAAATTTGACCCTAACGTACGTTTTTCATGTGAAAAAGAAGTATCAATATGCCAAATATGTCTTAAACTCAATGAAAATCTGAGAAAAAAGCTTTAAAACGGAAATCGTCTTTTTTAAAAGACATTTTCAAAGGGAACATGGTCAAGTTTTGGAAAAAAAACACTATTTTCAAATATCGGAATTATCAAAATTTGTATGTTTTTTTTGCTAGTTTCAAAATTACTTGGTATTTGAAGATCTGTTTGTTCAATTTTGAGAGAAATTTCTTGAGAGAAATTTTGTGTTTCTACCGTAATCCTTATCACACAATTGTGATTTATCGTGATATCTAATCACAACACACAAGATTTCTCTCAAGAACCAAACAACAAACCAAAACAATAGTTTTATTATTATTTTTCCTAATTTTTCTTCTTTCTAGGCCGATACATTATTTTTATTTCTGTATATGTTGTTCTTACTACACTAAATGTGTTTCAACTCTCTCTCCCTTACATAGTTCTTTTTGATAAATCGAACATTAATGGAGATCCCCCACCGGATGATGATGACGACCAAAGACAGTTTTCGCAGGATGAATTGCCAATACTCGTTGATATAGAATAGTTCTCCGAACTGCGGCACGTTCCTCATTGCTATTCCGACCAGCATGCATCCTGTGAAATTTTGACGATTTTCAGCTTTCCAGTAATTAGTACTATTAGCTTTTTTGGCTATTTTCTATATGTGCCACCCCCTCTGTTCTATTTTTGTTGATCTCCCTTGAAAACACAAGACCAACCTACCAATTAATGACGGGATATAGACAAATTTGACGAGCTTTCCGGCGGCCACCGCCAACACGATCATCATGAAGCAAGAAATAATTGAGTGAAGAATCTCGTTGGCTGCATTTTGCAAATTCAGCGTGTTTGAAGTGACCGGCAAGAGTGGGTGCACTGCAAAAAGGAATGGAATGGGACCAAGACATCACTTAAGCAGAAAATACTAACAAAAATTCTGTCCCGTAATTGACACCATTGATACATAAAGGCCAGCAGCAATAATTAGGAATGTCACGATTTGGTTAACCTGAAATTTTTTTTTTTTGATTTTCCAATTATTAAAATAAAATATAAAAACGATTTGTTGGAATCGGTGTCACGCTGTCATCTTTTGGAAAGCTTGAAAAATGAATATAAATTGATGTGACACTTTAAGGAAAGTGAGGAGTAACAAACTAGATTAAATCGCTCCGAAGGCGCAACAGCTTTCTGGTTAAAATATAATACACCTACATGATTATTATTGAAAAACTCGGAAATCCTTGTCTTTGCTCCAGGCCACATATGTGCTCCCATTGTTTGGTCCAACTCTGAAATACTCAAAATATAAGGAGATACGTGATATACTGTAGATCCTATAAATAGGATAATGTCCTCTGAATATGAACTAAATAGATAACAATCAGTTATGATTCACGAACTCGCGCGGCCCCTAAAAGGTGAAAGGGTGTAACAGTGAGTGACATAAACTGACATAAACACAGACTGATTTTTGGGAAAAGAATATTTCGATAGTCACGAAAATTTGCATAACCCTTCATAATCGGCTGCTAGAAAAAAGAAACAAAAACGGCTGGAAATTTACCGGTGAACTGGAAGTGCAAATGTACAAATATGAGAGAACCAAAACTGATGCATTTTATGTTCGTGTACCCGACGTAATTTGATTATCAGACCTAAAATTTAATTGGTCATACGTGACAGATGAAAGAAGTTCATCTGGTCAGTTCATTTTTTTCAGGTGGTTCATGATATCACTTTGTTGAAAAATTGGAATTGTGTAAAGAAGAGAAATGAATTTTCAGAGTTTCTCGGAAAATCCCTTTGGTAATTTTTTTAGGTTTGGTGTCTTGAACATTTCCTGGTCTCTTCGTCGTCATAGAAAGCTGATTTCTCTTTATTATATGTTCATTTCCTCGTGGGTTTCCGATGGTCATGATGATGTAACGGCGTCAAAATCGTATCAATTCTTGTCTGCCTTATGAAAATCTCCTTGACGAGCGGGATGAAAAAAGATGGACAAGGTTTGCAGGAGATCAGGCGCAACAACGAGATAATGAAAAAGTTTTAACCGCATTCACAACCCATTAGTCACAGATTCATATATTGTCTCCGCGACCCGCTTTTTCCTATTTTTTTTTGACTTGTGTTTTTTTTTCATTTGCCTCTTTTTTTTTGGTTTTATTTTGAGCTATTCTTTTTTTCCGAATCTGAAAATATCCCAAATCCGAGACCTATTTCTGGTGGAAGATCTATAAGAAAATTTTGTGAATGTTCTATGACCTACCTTTCAATAAATTATGGTGGTCAAGAAACAAAATGATTCACAACTATGCTATCTCTAGCGGTTTTCTCAATTACCATTCCCCATAAACAACAAAAAAACCGTTTCCTTGTTTATAACCGTAACTTTCTCCATTCATTCAGTTCTTTTTTCTATTTTTTCTGACATATAGTATAGTTGTGATTGATGTCTTAGTCTCTGAACTCTATACGTTTCTCAAATCACTAATAAAAGAGACATTTGGGGTTTTTTCTCACGCCCAGAAAACTTGATTCGAAATTGACTTGAAACTTTTTTCGTAACGTTTTTAAAAGTTTCTCACACTCGGGAGACACACCTTGATATGTACCCGTAATGTATTATCTTTTGACTTTTCCCAAATTTTTTACGCAAGAAGAAGGTCACTTGAGACTTTTAGGTTTTTAGGTTTTATGTACTTACGATTTTTTAAGGTTCTATACTATCTATACTACGTTTTTTGACTTTGTAACTTTACAAGGGAACTCCCACAAACTCAGATTTTCATTCTATTTCTATATAGCAAAGAATAGCCTATCTAGACAATTCTGAAATTCTCAGAATCCGTTTCCTAGTTTTAGATGGGTTTAATAATTTTCAGAACTAAAAATGGCATTTTCAACAATTTCCACAATTAACAGAACAGTTCGAAACATAAGACTAGTTGTGTTATACTTCAAATGCTACGAAATTTTATGTTTCAGAAACGAATGTTCAAAAAAACCTATTTTTCCAAGTAATATCAGTTTTAGTACCAAAAATAGTTTTAGTGCAAAAAATCGGACTTTTCAAAACTAGAAATTTGTTGCTTGGTTTTCAGAGTTCCATGAAATTCCACACTTCAGAAATTTTTTCAACAATTATTTTTTTCAAATTTTCGAGTTTTTCAACCATTCAGACTACGGCGCTTTCTGGTACTAAAACTGATATAACTTGGCTGAAATTCTATTTTTTCAACTAGATACCTAAAAACATACTTATCATGGACCCCCTCGGGGTCAATTTGAGCTTTTCTTTAACCAAAGTCAAATTTCGAATATTTTGAATTTTTTAAAAATTTCAGAAAAATGAGTCGAGATTTCCTTCTGAGGTACTGCTATTTCCAAACTTTCCAATATTAAAATTTTGTTTTGCAAATTTCGGAAAAAGAAGATCTTTATTTTTCCAAATGTGAGATACATGTCTACGTGTGTTTTTTCTTGACTTCCTGTTGCTAAAAGTGACCTTTTTTGACCTTTTGAAAACTTCCACTTGAAAAAGTTTTTTTTAGCACCAAGTGAACTTCGTCACCGTCCAATAAAACCCAAATATAACTTTATCTAGTTAGCACAAATTTCGAAGAATACGCTTCATTTCGTAATTTATGGGGGCTCCGCGTCACCCGTCTCAGGGCCATCCATCCATTATACACACACGCACTCCACTGACTCATCGAACGCATATTGGGACTATTTTAGCTTCTCAATCTCGTCTCGCCCACCAGTTCTTCTTATTCCACCCCAAATGGAAAGTGGTTCTGGAGAAGAACACAAGTAGAATAATGAGGGGTTCGAGGGCCCTCCCCAAAAAAGACAAAACCTACACGTCGTCTTCCTCCCAATGAGACCCATATAATTTTCCGGGGGTTCCTTTATGCTCGCTTTTGTGCAATGAGGCGTCGTACAACGACTCTTCATTTCAAAATCTTGGAAGAGAAAAGCTTTTTTGGTACCAAGCCACGCCCATTTGCACTCATATAGAAGGAGAGGAAGAGCTCAAAGAGTCTTCCAACATTGCTAACTGTGCTTTTCTTGTTTTTAGTGGTTTTTTAAACCCAGTTCTGTTCTTTCAATCATGACCAAACTTACTGGAAAACCTGTAATAGAAAGGTCCCTGACTTTTAGTTTTGAAACCGATTTTTCTAGTTTTCTGTCAAAGATATAAAAAAGTTGCCAACTGATAAATTGCTTATCATAATATCAGAAGTGTTTTGTCAGTTGACACATTTTTCATATCTTGCATAGCAATAGAGATAATTGAGATCAAACCTTCCTAACACAGGTTTCACGGAAGTTTTTCTTCAAAAATACCGTATACCCCTGACTTTGTGATTTTTTGCGGTTCAGCATTTTGGAAGGTTTCAAGCAGAAATACAAATCATCCTTCTGATCCCATTCCTTGTTGATCCGATCAATGCATACCCCTACGCAATAGGAGATGCAAACTAAGCGGATTGTCTGAAACTTTACTCTTCCTCAATCTAAAAGACCAGGTCTATTAGTCACTGAATGAAAAATATCGTGCTCAGCCCACATCATGGTAAATGTGGGCTTCTGGGCTTTTTTTCCCACATGGCGTCAATAAAAAAGAGCTGAAATATGAAATATGATTTGAAAAACGTAGTCAGAAACGAAACAACAAACTGAAATCACATTTTGCACTTGGTGTGTATGATTGTGGTGAGAATTTGATGGGAGATGTGTCTGAACAAAGTAAAAACAAATCGGATTGGGTACGAATTCTTTGAATCAATTGTGAATACTTTTAGCTAACAGGATCCCCCATGTCTGAGCGGGTCCTCAGTAATCTGTGTTTCATTTAGTACTTGTTTATTTTCTTAGGAGGAGACTTGAGACACTGTACTTGTTCTTGATCGAACGTAAAACATGTTTATTTTTATATTTCGAGCACTTTTTTATTTGAGCAATCACAAATTGAAAATTTATCCTACCAACTACCAGGATTCACATCCGTCATCAGTTTTAAAGCATAAGAGAAAGACCTTGACAGGCTTAAATTTGCAGTTCTGATGAGATCACTGATTTTAAGAACCATACAAGTAGAGTGTTTTCTTATGATTATCGTAGTAAAGCATAAACATCAATTCAGTAATCAAAAAATAGCAAAACACCACCTTGAAAACAGGTTCGACCTCTAGATCGGTTAGGTAGTAGAAAAACATCTAGTAGATCTTGATCTATTTTTCATCCCGCCCATAATTGTGATTTTTGGAAAAAAAAATACGATTGTGATAGTTCCTGGTTTATTTCGTTTGAATTTTTGAACGCTAATTTTGTAGCTGACTATTTGGAAAATTCTCTATGAAAATTTTTTGAATTCTCTCGTCTACAGAAGGTATTTATTTTTTCCAAATTTTTTCAAAGTTCCCAATTATTCCGATTTTCGAAATGTTGGAATTTTGGAATCTTCGGAATTTTCGGACTTTCGAAACTTTCCGTTTTTGAAAATTTGAAATTTCTAAATTTTCGAAATGTTGCAATTTTGAAAATTTCGAAATTTGGAATATTGCAACTTCGAAATTTTCGGAATTTCAGAATATTTGGATTATTCCAATTTAAAAAAATGTTTGAATTTCCTATCAGAATAGCGGGAAAAATTAGTGAAAAATTGACCAACAGATTTTGAAAACGAGAAAAATTGAAGTAATTTTAATCGCGATTTGCATGAAAGACTTTTGCCTGCGCTTTTGACATACCGTAGTCTCCAAATGCCTGATTAAATAATAAATAGAACCTTATTCTGGTTAATAAACCTTTATATTTTTTTTTATTTTCTGAGATCTTCAAAAGTGTTCCTATGCTTCCCACGTGTTGAAAGCGTGTTCCAAATTGTATAAAAAATAATCTAAAGCGGATTTGCTCCTGTCTGACACCTATAAAGAATACTAAAGAGGATCTAGTTCTAATGTTTATAAATCCGAAAATCTCAAGAACGTTTCCGAAATGCAGAGTTTACCAACAAAAAACACTCATCCCATGTTAATCTATTTGATTTTCTCTTTTTGCGTCTTTCTGTATTTCTAAACTACGATTTTCGTGTTCTTTGAGTTTCATTCAGGACTTCAATTAAATTCCGGGTGGGTGTCCCAAGACAAGGAAGCAGCTCTCATCAAGTGTTTTCTTTTGCTGCGTGGGTCAATTTCAGTTCAATTTTTGAACTTTTCCTCACGTCACTTTTCTTTTACTTTTTTCCTGTTCTTAAGAACGTTCGCTAG